TATTAACTTTTAAAAAAATGACTTATAGGGGATGCTAGAAACCGACTCAGTATTATGTTTTGTCCTTCCTTTTCTTGATCCTTTGTTTTATGATATAATAGCAGCTGGTGTGTGTGTGTATTTTTATGTAGCATTTTATATACACTCTTCTCATCTTTTTCTATGACTTATATAGAGATATTTTCCTTTTTACAGCTGTCTATTGCTTTATTGTATGGATATTTCTTAGTTTATTCAGCAAGCCCCTTATTAATGGACAATTGGTTTGATTTCACCTTTTTGCTATTACACAGAGTCCTGCAGTGAATAGCCTTGTGGGTGTATTGTTTCCTATCTCTACCATCTGTAGGATAGATTACTAGGTGTAATAGTGCTGAGTCAAAGGGTAAATGGGTATAATTTTATTAGATGTTGCTAAACGAACCTGCGTAGAAGCTATATCATAGCTTACCATATATAGGAGTTTCCCTACAGTCTCACCCTCAGAATATGTTGTCAGGCTTTTGAATTTTTGTAAATTGAACAGGTGGGAAATGACATCTCAGTGTAATTTGAGTTCACATTTCCCTTATTATACGCAGGTTTGATCATTTTTTCATATTGTTAAGAACCATTTGTATTTCTCTTTCTGTGAATGGTCTGTCCCTGTGAATGGTCTGTACAGTTGCTGGTCATTCACTTTTAGAATCTCTTTATTTGAAATTGTGTCTGACAAACCCTAAGGTGGACACCCAGTGATTTCCTGCCACCTGCTGCCCTCAAACTTTGTGAAATTTCCTCCTGTGGGTGGGAGTGGGCAGGGGGGTATCTATGACTTGCTTCTAATCAATAGAATGTGGCAAAGGTGATAGAATGTCAATCTATTGATTAGGTCAGGTCATCGGCAAAGATGATAGGAGTTCACTCCTGTGACTACATCACATTATTTATGACTGTCTTAAGCAGACCGGAGTAGGAGACTCCTTCATGTTGAATTGACGAAGTTAGGGGCCATGGTGGTGAAGCCCACGTGTCAGGGAACTGCAGGCAACCTCTAGGATCTGAGGGTGGCCTCCAGCTGATGGCTATTAGAAAGCCAAGGACCCTCAGTCCTGCAGCCACAAGGAACTGAATTCTGGCAATGCGAGTGAGATTAGAGCACATTTTTTCCCAGTGGAGCTCCCAGGTGAGGACATAGCTTGACTAAAACCTTGACTGCAGCCTTGGGGACACTCAGCAGAGGGCCCAGTTTAAGCTGTGCTCACTCTTGACCCACAGAGATTGTGAGATAATGTATGTTATTTTAAGCCACCAAGTTTGCAGTAATTGTTACATAGCAATAGAAAACTAATACTGAGATATTACTCTTTTGTCTGTGATACCAGTTGCAAGTATTTTTCCCAGTTTATCCTTTGTCTTTCTACTTTTAGTGTCTTTTACTATCCAAAGTTTTTTTGTTTTTGTGTAATCCAGTTTTACTGTATTGTTTCTGAATTTTTTGGTCCTAGCTAAAAAATTTTGCCCACTCTCAGATAATAGAGGAATTTACTCGTGTTTTCTTCTGATACTTGTTTAGTTTCATCTTTCACATTTAAATATCTAATTCATCTCAGATGTATCTTGGTGGGTAATGATAGGAATGAACCCTGTTGCTTGTCCGTATGGCTAAACAGATGTTTTCACATCATTTAGTTGAAAGGCATTCATTTCCTCTCTGGTTTTTGGTGTTATCTTTATTTATACTAAGTTTATGCTAAATTTATCTTAAATATAATATATACTAGATTTTAAAAGTTTTTTTATGTAATTGGATTTTTTTCCTATCCCTTTCCCATCAGTTTGTCAGTCTATGTGTGTGCCATCCTGAACTGTCCTGGAGTTGATTATCCGGTAGGGCTCACTTCCCTCCTAGTTCTTCTCCCAGGGTTTTATTCTCATTCATTCTTTTCCAAATGAATTTTATGATCAACTTGTCTAGCTCCAGAAAAAAAAAAATCTGACAGTATATTTAATGAGTGTGTAACATTTACAAGTTCATTTAGGGAGAGCTGAGATTTTTGAGACATTTAGGAGTTTCTCATGGTTTTCCTCATATATGTTTTAGACATTTTTTGCTAAGTTCGTACTTAATATTTTATTTTATCTTAAGATTTTTGCAGTGATATTCATAAAGGAGATTTTTGGTCAGGAGTTTCGATCTTTGTCAGGTTTCAAGATCAATGTTATGCTCATTTCAGAAAACAAATTTGGAAGATTTCCTTTAAAACAAAAATTATTTAGCTTAAGGAGCATAGGATTATTAGACCCTTAACGGGATGGAAGAGTTCCCTTGTACCACTCTCTGTGCCTGATGGTTTGTTTTTGTTGTTTGTTTTTTTCTTGGGTTTTGTTTTTTGAGGAACTCTTTCATAATTTTATTTCTTTGGGATTGGGGTCAATTTGAATGTTGTATTTTCCTTAAAAGTTACTCTTTTCTAGCTGGTTGCAGTGGCTCATACCTGTAGTCCCAGCTACTTGGGAGACTAAGGAGGGAGGATCACTTGAGCCTGGAGGTCAGCCTGGGCAACAAAGCAAGACCCCGTCTCTTAAGAATATATATATACACATACACACCACCACCCAAGTTTCCAAGTTGATTTGGATAGAAGTGTTCCTCTTTTGATTTTTAAAATTTCCTGTCACAGTGTTTTCAAATTTATTATTAAGAAATCATGGAGGAAGACTTGAGACTTTTGCTGGCATGTTGAGTATTTTGCTTCATAATGAAAATGTCTAATGAAACTCTTTTCAAACTGGTTAGCTGTCTTCTCCTCCTTCCTCTCCTTTTTCTTCATAGTAAACATTTATTTCCCAGGATGTGCTCTGCTCATATACTACAGTCCTCTCTAAGATTTCACATTGCACAGAATCTACACAATGTCCCTTAACCTCTTACGGAACAGAAGTACACTTTTAAAAAATTATATAAATGAGTTTCCAACCGTGACATTTCGTCTCTCCGGTCCACTCTCTAGTAACAGCCACACCGGGACCTCTAGCCTGTTGCCCTATCTGCATTTTTCATCCTGCTTCGTTCTTCCACATCCTCACATCTCTTTTTGCTTGGCTTAAACCTGTTATTATAATCATCACACTGCATATACCTTGCCCCATTCTTGTACTCTTGTACCTCCCTGGCAAAACCCCAACTCATAGCTTGCAAGGTGCCTGTCCCTGAGCAGCTAGATCCCAGACCCTGACCGGAGGGAAACATAAAACCGTACCAACTTGTCTCACCTAAATTCATATGTACATCTGGTTAGCCTTTTATTCACTTAACTTTGAAAAATATATTACATTGATATCTAGCTCCTAAAGTTTTGGCTCTATTAACTGTTCAAGTTTATGGTTGGTAGACTTTGTTCACTAGTTGTTTTGCATTAACTAACCTTACATATTTGCTTTGACCCTCCTTTCAGAGGCTTTCAGCCTTGGTTATTAAAGCCATAGCCAGTTGCCTGTAGAAGGAATAGCAAATAGTATGAAAGAAAAAAGACTTTATTGTGTAGATACTGGATTTGTTATTTGTTAGTATAGATTATATTAAAATTTTAGTTTTCAATTTTTGTTTGCATGTTTTCTTAAGCAGTTAAGAAACTTAATTTTTTTTTAAATAACAGGCATCTGATTGCTTTGCACTTTCTTAATACTTGGGTGTTGACTTGGTGACCTATCTAAAAACAGATAGTGCCTTTGCTGCTTCTGAACAGTATTATGGTTAATTATATAAAAGATATGACTGATTTTATAAATTTCTCTCGTTTTATCTGTTTTTAAATTTCATGTAATGATTCAGTAAATAAAAAATACTCTAAAGAATTATGATGTGGCTTGGGGGAAATAATATAATAATATCTACCTGATAGAGGTTGTTGAGAGTTAATATATTTTATAGTTCATGAAACCAGAGAATTTTGATTTTAAGCTATCTGTTGTGGATAGGATGAGCCAGGTTAGGATGAGTCTTCTGTGAAGACCCTAAACAGATTGGCCAAATCCTTTGAGCTGGAAGCTTTTTTATTTTGCCCTTAGGTGCTAGCAGGCAGCCAACAGCCTTGTACCTTTTCCAGTAATGAATACGGCTGTTCTGTGATCGTTTCCATACTGTTGTTGAATAAGGTAGTCATAATCTCTGTGGATAGCATTAAGGTATTGCTTGGCCCAAGCAAGACAGTAATAATTTTGTGTAGAGATTCCAGGCATTTTTCAAGTATATTGATAACCATATTACAGTAATTTTTTTCATTCATTTCAACAAATATTTATTAAATGTTCGCTGTGTGCCAGGCACTCTTATGAGCTCAAAGGATATTGCAGGGAATAGAATATGCAAAAGCTCTTGCTCTATTGGCGCTCTTGCTCTGTTTCTGGTATGGGAGAGATAGACAATAACTAATAAACCGAATGAATAAGTAGTTATGTATATGTAAGAAGGTGGTAAGTTCCATGGAATAGGAGGATAGAGTTTAATGTTTAGCAGCTGAGTTGCAGTTTTAAATAAGGTAGTCTAGGTACAGGGTCTTATTGAGAAGGTGATATTTGAGCAAAGATTTGATAGAAGTGAAAGAGGTAGCTATGAAATTACCTGGGAGGAAAAGTATTCTAGAGTATTCTAGACTGGGGGAAGAGCCAAGGAATAGGTCTTAAATGGGGTGTGATTATGACATGTTTGACCCATAAGGAGACCTATGTTTAGAGCAAAATGAATAAAGAGGGAATTAGTGGGAGATATGGTCAGAGAAGTAATGCCAGATGAACTCTTTATGCTAGAGGGACTTATAGGTCATTGTAAGGAAGAAATGGGTAGTCATGTATCCCATTCATGTTATATGTTAAATAGATCTAGTGAGGAAAGATGTAATAAATAGATCTAATGAGGAAAAATATTAATGTGAAAAATATTAAAAATAAATAATTTAATAATTATTAAAATAATATTAATGTGAAAATATTAATATGAAAAAATTAACATTTTGAATTTCTACTAATATTCATTCATTCTATAGATTTTTTTTAGCATCTTCTGTGGGTCATTCATTATGCTAATGAAGGGAATGCAGTAAACTAGAAAACAAACAAAAGCAAGTCAAAGTCCTTGTGGAGATTATCTTGGTTCAGTGCAAATTATTGTGTTTTGTGTATCAATGATTTTCTTTCACTTCTAAAGTGTTTGTGTTTTTCTAAGCTGGTCTTTAATTTAAAAAGTGCTAAAAGCTGACATGGCACTTCCCTTGGTGCCTGACTTTCCTTTATACTGTGGTCATTTCCAGCCACCCCTCTGGTCTTACTATTCGTGAGACTTTTGTTTGCTTGGATTTTGGGGATTTTTTTTGTTTTGGTTTGTTACTGTTGGTTTATTTTTTATTTTTTTAATTGATTTGTAGTGAAATACCTAGTAGTTCTAAGTTGGTAGATAGTTAAGAAATTGAGCTATTTATCATGGTATAACCTATAGTATAACCTATAGCCTTTGGTATAACCTTGTACAAGACAGCATAATTTTTAAAGTGGGACTGAGACTGATTTGCTTTGTTCTGATCTTTGGAGGTTGATAATGTTTTAAAAATTATCTTATACTATAGAAATAAGTACTTTATAAGTTAAATCTAAGTAGTTTTCTCATGTGTGTATGTTACTTATATAGGGTTTCCCTGTACTAAGTCTTTTCATTGAGATTGTTTTATATGTATGTTGGGCTCTTTAGAAAGAAATCCTTGGAAAATTGTATTAGCCTTCATGAAGAACAGATATTATGAGAAAGCTTAGAATAAAATTGTTGTTCATTGCTATATTTGGTTCTTCTTGCCTTATTTTATAGGGAATCTCAAGGAGAGGGAAAACAGAATTATTTGAACTCTTTGTTTGAAAATAACTGTCAGATTTAGAGTATACACTAAAACAGGCATAGCCTTTTATTGGAAAGTAGAACTTTTTTTTCAAGTTGCTTATTTTTAATAACAGATTTTAAGATCCTTGGTTAAAAAAAGAATCTTGCAATTTTACAGTTGGGACCTTAGATGTCCTACAGGAAGTACTTGTATTTTCCCCATGAAAAGTTAGTACCCGATGAAAAAATAACCAAACTGAAAGCAGTCCAGAACAAAGGTGAAGAAATACCCATTAACATGGGCAAATGATTAAGTCACATATTTTGCTGCCCCTGGTTTTCTGAGCATTAACACACTGACCTGTGGTTTTAATTGTTGAACCCTTTTTTAAAATTCAGTGCTATCCGTGTGTCTTCTTGTATTGGAATCTCTGTTAACTGTATGCATAGGGGTCCTACTTGGTGGTTTGGAAAATAGTGAATATGTATTTGGTGGATGATTAAAAGTGTACTGAAGTATCTAACATATCTATCTTTCTTGTTTAGGAAATTGAAAATGGCCCTTCAGCTATGCTAGGTCTATAATGGGAAGTGCCACAGTTCGATATTTCTGTTATGGGTGCCTTTTTACATCCGCGACCTGGACAGTTTTACTTTTCGTTTATTTCAACTTCAGTGAAGTGACTCAGCCACTTAAGAATGTGCCCATCAAGGGGTCTGGGCCCCATGGACCATTTCCCAAAAAATTCTATCCCCGGTTTACTCGTGGTCCAAATCGAGTATTAGAGCCACAGTTCAAAGGAAACAAAATTGATGATGTGATAGATGGTCATATTGAAGATCCAGAAAACGGCCATCTGAAATTCTCTTCTGAATTAGGTAAGTATATTTAATTTTTACTAGTAGCCATATCAGTGTATTTACTCATTGGAAGTTTAATTATTCTTTAAATCATGTGTTGCTCAGGAGATTAAAAATGTTGTTTTTTTCTACACTGATTTGATTGTGAACTAGCTGAAGTTCTATGATTCTTGTAGACACAGAGAGGAGTTATATTCTAATTTGTCCACTTCTGACTTCAGTATCTTATGAGGACTTGGGAAAAATCAACAAGGTCTAGAGAAGGGAAAAAAAAAAAAAAAGAAAAAGAAAAACTAAAGGGCTAGAAAGAAAATGGAACTGTGGGAGAGAATTTTAATTGCTACGATTATCAATAAGGGAAAGAAATGGCTGAAAGATGATCTGATTGTATTTAACTTATTTTGAAAGGCAGATTTAATTAAAATAGTACATAAAACATTGGGTTTAGAAATCAGCTGGAATTACTTATATCTAATAAAATTTATACTTATAGGAATTATTAAGGTACTAGAATATATACTACATACAGTTTATGAAATTTTGGTATAAAACAGAAAGCTTTTTTTCCAGAAATTATATTCTCTTCAATTTGAAAATAGGAATCTATTGTATATGCCTTTGAATACTACCGTTCTAGAGTCCTGATTTTAGCAAATTTTATTTTAAGGGATAATAAGTGAGCTATTTTGATTATCTTTAAAACTTAAAAACAAGAACTTCGATCTTGTGGAAACATCACATGATATGTAATTTAGCAGTAAAAGCATATAGTAAGAGATTTTTGAGAGATTGAGAGAGCCATAGGCTATAAAGGAGATGTTAAAATAGAATTTTCATTTGGTTATAGTTTCAAGAAATAAAGTCAGTTCTTAGGTCTTAATGATTTTCTCATAAAGGAAGTCAAAATTATTTAAAATTATATGAGGAAACAGAAGCTAATATGTACTTTTAGTTTTCATAAAATATACCTTCTAGTCTTTTTCAAACAACCAGGAGACATTTTAAAAGCATTAATGAGAAAATGTCTAGCTCTTTTATTTATTCATAGTTATTTTGGTGAAACATTTATAAAGTAACATTGGGTTTACCATTTTTAATGGACTTTGTATTTGCCTTTGGAAAAAGAAGCAAGAGAATTGTAGATATTCAAAGGGACAAACTCAAATTGCCTAACTGAAAAACTAAATTTCTTATAGAAAATCCTAAAGACTCCCCCTAAAACCTTTTAGAACTAATAAGTGAATTTGGCAGTTGCAGGGTACTAGATCAGCATGCAAAAACCAGTTGTATTTTTATACACTAGAAATGAATGGTCTGAAATGAAGTTAAGAGAACAGTTTCATTTATGATAGCATCAAAAAGAGTAAAATACATAGGAATAAATTTAGCCAAGGAGGTGCAAGACTTATACACTAAGCTATAAAACATTGCTGAAAAATTATTTAATATACCTAAATGAGTAAAAAGACATTCCAGATCCATAGATTAGAATACTAAATACCATTAAGATATAAATAGTACCCAAAGCAATGTATAGATTCAATGCAATCTCTATCAAAATGTCAATGGCTTTTGTTGAAAAGATGGGAAAAGTTATCCTAAAATTAATATGGAATCGCAAGGGTCCCCAGTAGCCAAAACAGCCTTGAAAAAGAAGAACAACTTTGGAGAACTCATACTTAAAATTTTAAAACTTTCTCCAAAGCTACCGTAATCCAACAGTGTGATACTGGCATAGGTTAGACACAATAGATGAGTGGAATAGAACTGAGAGTCCACAAATAGACCCTGCCTCATCTGTGGTCAATTGCTTTTCAAAAAGGATGCCGAGACCACTTAATGGGGAAAGAATAGTCTTTTCAACAAATGGTGCTGGGACGACTGGCTATCCACATGCAAAAGAATGATTGGACCCTTATCTCACACCATATACAAAAATTAACTCAAAATGGATCAAAGACCTAAATGTAATGTGTTATGTAACACCATAAAACCCTTAGAAGAAATCATAGCGATAAATCTTCATGATCTTGGATTTAGCAATAATTTCTTAGATACCATACCAAAAGTACAAGCAGCAAAAGAAAAATAGATAAATTGGACTATATCAAAAGTAAAAACTTTTGTACATCAAAGAACATGTCATGAAAGTGAAAAGAGACAACCCACAGAATGGGAGAAAATATTTACAAATCGAGGCCAGGCACTGTGGCTCACGCCTGTAATCCTAGCACTCTGGAGGCCAAGGTGAGAGGATTGCTTGAGCTCACGAGTTCAAGACCAGCGTGAGCAAGAGCGAGACCCCCGTCTCTACTAAAAACAGAAATAAATTAGCCAAACAACTAAAATAGAAAAAATTAGCCTGGCATGGTGGCACATGCCTGTAGTCTCAGCTACTCGGGAGGCTGAAGCAGAAGGATCGCTTGAGCCCAGGAGTTTGAGATTGCTGTGAGCTATCATGGCACTATAGCGTGGGCAAGAGAATGAGACTTTGTATCAAAAAAAAAATTTACAAATCATATTTCTAATAAGAGTTCAATATCCACAATATATAAAGAGTTCTTAAAACTCAACCATAAGGCTGAGTGTAGTGGCTTATGCCTATAATCCCAGTACTTTGGGAGGCTGAGTTGGGAGGGTCACTTGAGCCCAGGAGTTCAAGACCAGCCTGGACAACATAGACCTCATCTCTACAAAAAATTTTAAAATGCTGGGTGCTGTGGCTCACACCTGTAATTCTAGCACTTTGAGAGGCTGAGGCAGGAGGATCACTTTGAGGTGAGGAGTTTGAGACCAGCCTCAGCAACATAGCAAGACTCTGTCTCTATAAAAAATAGAAAAAAATAGCCAGGCATGATAGCACGCACCTGTAGTCCCAGTTACTAGGGAGGCTGAGGCAGGAGGATCATTTGAGCCCAGGAGTTTGAGGCTACAGTGAGCTATGATCAGGCTACTGCACTTGAGCCTGGGCAACAGAATAAGACTCTGTCCCTAAAAAAAAAAAACAAAAGAAATTAATGATCTTTTCACGTGGAATAGTTTTTCATAGATCTGTATTAGAAAATGATTCAGTATCCAGCATGAAGTACCCTCTGTTTGATACTTGTTGCATCAGGAAGTATTTAGTAAGAATCTGGCTGTAATCCTAGCACTCTGGGAGGCTGAAGCGGGAGGATTGCTCAAGGTCAGGAGTTCGAAACCAGCCTGAGCAAGAGCGAGACCCCATCTCTACTAAAAATAGAAAGAAATTAATTGGCCAACTAAAACATAGAAAAAATTAGCTGAGCATGGTGGCTCATTCCTGTAGTCTCAGCTACTTGGGAGGCTGAGGCAGGATTGCTTGAGCCTAGGAGTGTGAGGTTGCTGTGAGCTAGGCTGACACCACGTCACTCTAGCCTGAGCAACAGAGGGAGATTCTGTCTCAAAAAAAAAAAAAAAAAAAGAAGTATTTAATAAGAATCTTCTTTGTGCAAGGCAGTGCTCTAGGTGCTAGGTATCAAGCAGTTTTAATTTTATTTCTTTTATGTTTTGAACATAACCAAAGTCTTTTCTCTCATGGAATTTCCCTCCTTGCATAAAATGCTAACAGAGCTTTAAGAAAGGCTGTACTTCAGCTTAAAAAGTTCCAGAGAGAAGGCATGCAAGAGGTAATGTTTCCCAAAGTGGACCTGGGGACACTAGTCAAGTGTTTTGTGGTCAAATAAATTGGTGAAACACTGCATTCTATATGCTGTCCCCTCGCACTTGGCCATCCATAAAATATTCAGCATATTAAAGGCATAGTCCTGCAATTAAAATAAAAAACCTATTTGATGTAACAATTTTTTTTTTGAGACAGAGTCTCACTCTGTTGCCCAGGCTAGAGTGAGTGCCGTGGCGTCAGCCTAGCTCACAGCAACCTCAAACTCCTGGGCTCAAGCGATCCTCCTGCCTCAGCCTCCCGAGTAGCTGGGACTACAGGCATGCACCACCATGCCCGGCTAATTTTTTCTGTATATATTAGTTGGCCAATTAATTTGTTTCAATTTATAGTAGAGACGGGGTCTCGCTCTTGCTCAGGCTGGTTTCAAACTCCTGACCTTGAGCAATCCGCCCGCCTCGGCCTCCCAGAGTGCTAGGATTACAGGCGTGAGCCACCGCGCCCGGCCTGATATAAAAATTTTTAACATGTATTACTGTTCGATGGAATTAGTTTTGTATAAACAGACTTTGGGAAATACTGCTACAGAAAGCCATTCTGTGAGGAGAGGCTAAAGCATTTCCCATGCTTTGACATGGGAAAGAGAAAGCAAAAGATTTTGTCATTCTGTGTAAAGATCTCTGACAGAATATTAGAACAAGAATGTTAAATTACAGTGATTTGATTAGATTTCTGGAGGAATTTCTAGACAGTGAAGCTGATTAAAGTCAGAAACCAGAGACTGTGGAAGCTTTTTTTGTGGAAAGGTTTATTAATAGCCGTTTTGGGGGCAAGGGCCTCATGTAGAAACTTGCCTATAGATGGGGCCTGTCGCATGTTCATTGGGGTTCTGTAATCTGTTGCTGTTATGGAAAATTATTTTTTTTCTTACTTGCAAATTTTTCTCTTAAATATAATATTTTTTAAATTATGGCTTGTGAGTAGGTGTTGTTTATGGTCAATACACACTTGCTTTGAGCTAGACTGATAAGAATTTGACCTCAAGCTCAGTTTACTTTTTTAAAACTAGAGACAACTTAGATTTGGGACACATAGCTGTTAATCTGGTTAATAGGATAAAGTCAACATTTTCTTATGATCAGAACATCACAGTAACTGGCGATCCTGTCTAGATTGAATGCACTGACTGTAACTCCACTGTCTTGCAGGTATGATTTTTAATGAACGCGATCAGGAGTTGAGAGACTTGGGCTATCAGAAACACGCCTTTAATATGCTTATCAGTAACCGCTTGGGCTACCATAGAGATGTGCCGGACACAAGGAATGCCGCGTATGTTCCTTATTCATTACTGTTAATACATTTTAATAACACAATGTTTTTAGTGTCAGCATAAAAAAGTCCTGAGGATGGCGTTCACATTTTGTAGTTAGGTGTCATTATTCAGCATATTAGGACACTTGAGACAGATTTCCACTTCTGTAGTACTTGAAGTCACAGGGTCTGAAGATTGTACTAACAAAGTTCTAAAGCTTGCTGTGTCTCTTTTGACATTTCAGATCATGTGGGAAAGAGGAGGGAGGGTGCTAATTAAATAACCTGAGCAAGGCCGGGTGCGGTGGCTCACGCCTGTAATCCTAGCTCTCTGGGAGGTCAGGCAGGCGGATTGCTCAAGGTCAGGAGTTCAAAACCAGCCTGAGCAAGAGCGAGACCCCGTCTCTACTATAAATAGAAAGAAATTAATTGGCCAATTAATATATAGAAAAAATTGGCCGGGCATGGTGGCGCATGCCTGTAGTCCCAGCTACTCGGGAGGCTGAGGCAGGAGGATCTCTTGAGCCCAGGAGTTTGAGGTTGCTGTGAGCTAGGCTGACGCCACGGTACTCACTCTAGCCTGGGTAACAAAGCGAGACTCTATCTCAAAAAAACAAAACAAAACAAAAAAAATAACCTGAGCATAAGTTTGTTTTCAATGTTTTGGATTCACAGCAAAAAGAAATGAAAATCAGTGAAGTTTGCTTTTTTTCCTTAACACATTAACTGCCACACTAGAAAAAACATTTTTTTTCCTTGGGGCTACGGTGTTTTATTGCGAAAATAGAATAAAAACTTCAAAAACAAAATGGTCCTTTCTAATTTAATGAAAAATTTGCTATTATGTGTGTGAGTTATATGCAACTTGAAAAATAATTCACGTGGCTCCCAAGGTAAAGAGATGGCACGAGTTACATATGCCTCACAAGGCCCTGGGCTCCAAACTAGCGTGAGTTAAATACCACTCACATGGCAGTTAATGTGTTAAAAGGCTTTTCATTTATGTGGTCAGTTATTCCACAGATAGACATTTGTTGAGCACCTTCTGTTTGCTGCACACTTTATTAAGCTCTGGAAAGAAACAGAATAAGCTGTAGTAGTCCGTGGGTTCACAGGCTCAGAATCCGGCCGGGGAGGCAGGTATGTCAGCAGGTCGTTACGGTAGCACATGAAGAAGGGCTGTGATAGGAAATGGTGAAACGGGGTCATTAAACCCAGAGTGGCCAGAGAAGGCTTCGAGGAGAGGGGTGATTGGGCAGTGTCGTGAGGGAAAGCCTTTCCCCGCATAGGGAACAGCATGTGGAAATCTGAGGGACTGGAGTTCACTTTGGCTGTAGTGGGAGAACAGCAAGAGGCTGGAGATAGTCAGGGCTTGGACACTGGAGGGCTTTGATTGTATGTCATGTGAAAGAATTTAGGACTCTGGATTTTATTCTTTAGGTTCATGGGTTTTTGTTGTTGCTTAAAGCCACGTCAACCTTTTCATCAAATAATTTCTTTTTTTTTTTTTTTTTTTTTTTCAAGATAACAAGAAAGCTTCCATGTAAGAAATTATTTGAGGCCGGGCGCAGTGGCTCACGCCTGTAATCCTAGCTCTTGGAGGCCGAGGCGGCAGATTGCTCAAGGTCAGGAGTCAAAACCCGCTGAGCAAGAGCGAGACCCCATCTCTACTATAAATAGAAAGAATTAATTGGCCAACTGATATATATATCAAAAAATTAGCCGGGCATGGTGGCTCATGCCTGTAGTCCCAGCTACTCAGGAGGCTGAGGCAGAAGGATCGCTCGAACCCAGGAGTTTGAGGTTGCTGTGAGCGAGGCTGACCCACGGCACTCCACTCTAGCCTGGACAACAAAGCGACGAACTCTGTCCTCCACTC